GTGCTGTACTGTAGCATGCGCGGAATGCCTCACTATCATAAGTTATATATATACCACGTGTAACCGTGTATCCAAACCCCCGCTCGTGTCTGGGTGTAAGCTCCATGGAGCCCTGTCAAGTACTGACAGTTCTACCCACGTGTATCCGTGTTATACCTCACGTTAATCGTGCCCTTACCCACGTTTATCCGTGTTACACCTCACGTTTATCCGTGCCATTAACCACGTGTACCCGTGGCCCACCACCACGTGTCACGGGTGTCGTGCCCTCTTATTTTAAGTAGTATTGTTATTACTATATCGCAACGTCGACTTCTATATAGTCGACGTCCGACCCTAAGGAAAACACCCCAGAGCCTTGGGTCGACAACCTGAGTTTCTGGAATCGGAGTCATAGCCTCGCGCCGGTTCCCGTCACACGACGGTACTACGCGAGCTATCTGCGTCCCCGATTCCCACCTACCTCTACCGCTCGCGCCCCCTGCTCCCCTACTGTAGCGTACGCGCCAGCCTGTCCCTATCGCACCGCCCCTCCTGGGCGTGTCCTCCATTTCCTTTACCCCTCTAATTTCCTGCTGCGCCTCGCGCACGGCCCCGTACCGGTCCCTTACGGGTTGTCTCCCGACAACACCCCCAACGCCCCGACCGCACGCGTTCTGCCGAGGGGGCTCCGACCGTTCCTCTTCAGTGCACGACATTGCACTACAATTGCGAAAGAAATCGTTATGGATTGGCGTGGGATTTCGAAACACTATTGGAACGATGTGATAAGGAATACACCTGAGACTGGCATGTTACCTTCGCGCAAAGGCTGCTACGTTAATGTGTCCTAATACGAAGGACACGGAAACGTTGGACTTGTGAAATGAATGGAATGGTGTGGTATGTTTGGCGAAAATGAAACCACAAACGATTTACGGTTTCTTATCAGCCACGCTTCGCTTTAAATTTTCGCGTGAATACGTTTTGGGGTATTTTCTTAACTAAAGTGAGAAAAGTTATGCTTTTGCCTTCCTTTTTATGGCGTAAGTTGATCAATATCTCCTTGCGAATAGGGCAAATACTTGCACAACGTTACGAGAGAACGATTTATTACTAAATGTGGCATCAAATATTCAGAACCTTTACGAAAGGACCCATAAGTTTTTCTTGGAAACTGCATAACTTACGGAATTTTCCATAACCTATGGATTTTGTATAGACTCAGTTATGGCGAAAGACTGCTTTTTCTCCATATAAATGACGTCAGAGAGGTGAGCACCAACTCGATAACATATTTGAGGGAATGCAGAGCTTTGGTTACTTTCATACAGGGACAGAGCTCATATCTAATTTTGGTGCGACGTAGATTTTATTAACATCATTTTTCATCTTAAACTATTGGCAAACATTTCTGCCGCGAACAAAATCATGCTCATACAAGGATCCACGTAACGTGAAAGAAGTACGTATTCTTATTATGTCACAAACCGATCTCGAGCATTTTTGTAGGGCGGTGAGTTCAATTTATCAATGACGTCTTCACAACATGGACAGAAGTCTTGCGGCCGCCGTTTTCGCTAGTGGTTTCCATCGCCTAGGAACCAGAATTCTCAACAGTTTCATCAATAGCCGATTACGTGCTGTGTTTGGCGTCACGCCGAAGGTATGTGCAATTATTTGGGGCGCTCTGCACAACGATCTGGCGAACTGGGAAAGCCCGAAACATATTTTGTGGTGTCTGCTTTTCCTAAAGTGCTACACCAGCGATTGTTTGAGAAGACCGATTGTCAACGCAGACGAAAAAGCGTTCCGCAAATGGTCACTGGCTCTCGTGCACCTCATTGCCCCTCTCCTGCTGGTACGTTTCCGCAAATGAATATGTGCATGATCGACGGGATATTCCAGCACAACTGATCAGGGAATCTATTTGGCAATATTAATGGGCACGAGCGATTTCCTGAAACCTCAAACACGGGCGTAGCGGTATCTGTTGATGGCTCCGGTTGTCGAATTGTGGAACCAAAACCGTTCAACAAAAAGCGGGTTTCGTCCAAGTTCAAGGCCCCTGGGCTTCTTTATGAAGTTAGTATGTTATTGCATCTGGTTGCATTTTGTGGATTCATGGACCGTTTCCATGCGGATTCAGCCCTGATCTAAAGATATATCGCCTCTGCTTGAAATTGAAGCTTGCTTCTGGAGAACTTGTGGTTGCAGATGGCGGCTATCCTGAAGAACCGGTGTGGAGAGAATCTGGGATTGTGGATGGAGTTTATTTGGAACCCAGGCGGATTCGGGCCTGGCATGAAACATTCAATAGACGATTCAAGCAGTTTATGGTTCTGTCGAACAGGATCAGGCATAATCTTAACTGCATTCTTCCTGCTTTCATGCTTTCGTCCATCTCACGCAGCTAATGATCAACAATGGAGACCCATTGTGTCAAGTCTAAGATACCTATTACATTGCAGCGAGCTGTACAGCATATGAATGTGTGCCAAAGAACAGATGGGAGTATCATGCTTGTAATGTTCTATCAGCAGATGAATCCTAAGACCAAATCTGTAAGTGCGAAGGTGTTTGGCAAAACAGACAGTAAAGGGGGGTCACTGTAGCATAAACACCCCCAGCGATAGGGGTGTATGCACAGTTCGACCGAGACCCTTGTCGATCGGGAAGACGGGGGTGAAGCGGGACACCAGCTAACGGCACTGGGCAGCGGGCCCGGGTAGCGTGGTAGAGCGGGAACGGGGAGGACGCCGGTACGCGCGAGCGGTTCGACGCCTCGACGCCCCGGCGCGGTACTGGGTAACGATCCAGTACCGACGGGCGGAGGCGGAGCCGGCTCGTGGGCGTACCGCGCGCGTCCTCAACCCGCCTTCGGTGCCGCTTCTAAGGTAATTAGCGAGCGCTACCTTAGAATAAGCGGGAAGTCGGACCTTGACGGTCGGTGGGTGACAAGTCCGTGCTTGTCTTCCTCCACCCCGCCGGTCCGCTCCATATTTAATATACAAAACAATCTATAACACTACAGTACAGAAGTACTGTAGTGGACTACTGTAGTACAGATCGGACCGTACTGTAATACTGTCAGCCATCGTGGCTGACAGTACACGTGTGTGTGCGCGCTTCCGTCCCGCGCGGTACACGTGTGCACGTGTACACGCGTGCGCCCGGTACCCGAGGGGTACACGTGGCCACGCGCAGTAGTACTGTAGAGCATCGGGCTCTACAGCACTAGATCCCGTTGTTGATCAAATCTAACTAAAAAGCCCCAGGGGGGGATTATACTACACCTCCAGACGAAGGAGCACCAACCGGCACCCTTGTCTCGCGCGGCCGAGGCACCGCGTGTGGCGTGAGCTACTGACGCACCGTACAGTACACCGGGCAATGCCCCTCATCAAATCACAAAAATAAATCGTCGAAAATTGCCCACCAAAATTTCCTCGGCGATGTTTTGGCAAAAATCACAACACGAGCTGTGATTGGTGCGCTGTCAGCCTCTACGCGAAATTAACCGAAAACAGTACGTGACAGCAGCTCAACATTGCCTGGGGGCGCACAGCGACACAATCCCGCGCCACGTTTGTCGCAAATTGAGCAGCGCAACGAACTTGTAGGGTGCCGTTCTTCCCCCGACCACCGATCGACGGAGCCTGCGACCGACGCGAAACGTTCGCGAAGGGGTGCGCATTCGAGCACGCGCTGTGCGAGCGTGTTGCTCCCTCGGCCTGACTTGGTTCGTCGCGTGGCCTCTCTTCTCTGGTACGCGACGCTCGAGTCGCCCCATTCCCAGGATGGCCGTACGGTGTCCCTTCATCCGACACTGTGTCGAAGTGACGGAATCGTGGTCGTTGGGAGCGGTGTCACCTGTTTTCCCCGACTGCCGAGGCAGGTTTGTTACGACGTCGCACGCGCAACGGGGACCACCCCCGTCATTCTAGATTTTCTCCGGCGCGTGCGGCCGCGCCGCATCCCAGGAATTCAACACACGAACCGGCCCGCGATATTGCGAGATTTCCTTCCCAGAGAGCCTGATAACAGCTTTATCAGGTGCAGTACCGCAATCGTACTGACCCCCCCAAATCAGGACGCGGTTTCTGTTACCCCCTTATCCGTGGTTCACGAGGCAGCCGGTCATGCTCAGGCCGCCCCCGTGCCTTCTAAAAGGGCCTGGATCTTGGCAGACTTGATCGTCAAGTCAACGGCAGAAAGCACGTTCGGTTGTGCTTTTTCTCGTCTTCAGTTCCGTCGACGTTTCGCAGCCCTCGAAAGCTCGACATCGCCACTACCTTTGAGGTCGGTCGCCCTTCCCTTCACTTCAAACATTGGGGCAGGCTGTAGCGACGATTGTCCTCCTCGACTGGTAGAGCAGCGTCGCGGGCGATGGCGTACGGATCGAAAGCAAAGGCGGCTTCGCTGATTGGTCACGAGGACCCCGAAAAAAGGTAGTAGCAACCAAGCGACTCAATCGGAAGCGATGCTCATGACTCTCTACGGATGTGGGTGGTGTAAGGGGACCTCCTAGCTCATGCCATCCGGTTCTTGTCCACTGACTTCCCCCGAGAGGTCACTGTTACCATAAACCACAAAGCGTACACCCACTCGTGGGCGCGACTCGACTGCGTCCAAGTTGGTCTCGGGGCATTGCCCTTGACAGACCGTTGATGGTAGGGGACCCCAGCTCCGGGCGGGATTACCCGTCCTGTTTTCTCGGCTCCTTCGCCGTGGTGGTGTCTTGTGACGGGGAATTAAGACCTAGGGTGCCATGCATCCGCTGCCACTTCCTTTGCGGCTTTTACCGACTCATCACTTCTCTCCGCCACGCCCCGCGATTTTTCCTTCATCCACCGAGCCACCACGTTTCCGAGTAGGAGGCCCAGCACAGCGCGTCGCACGTGTACGCAAGGTTGGTCATCGGCCGGATACCCGGTTCGTCGAACCGGTTGGCTCTGACCGCGCCCTCGATCTCTGATGCCAGCAGCGGCGTGTTAACCGCATTCCTGTCGAGGGTCGGTATGGCGGACCTTCTGTTGCCGCCGACGCGTTCAATAGCGCCAAATTCTCGTCCTCGTATTGGCTTGCGCATGGTCGCGCTGTCGCAATCGATCACGGCGACCTCCTTAGCGACCTCGATGCCGCGCCCTTGGGCGTCGTCCCCATTCGCTGACGACAAGGAGGCCCTCTTCTCCGCAGTGCTGGCCCTTGACTGCGTCGTGCGCGATCCGGGTGGGCACCGGCAATTTTTCCTCTTCCCTCGCGATCGAGACCTTTTCGAAGCATCCCCGCCTCGGTGCGAGGCGCTTGCGCGAAGCAAAGACCAGGGTATTGTGCAGTTCGTGGCTAGTCTTGGTCCGGCGGTAGCGGGGGTTCACCGACACAGCCTTGAGCTCGTCTTGGATCGCCTTCCCCAGCTTGGGCGTCATCGCCGTACGAGCTGGTTATTGACGAGCACCGGCCTTCGTGTCGTTGTGGGCGCCACGCCGTACGCCACGCTCGCGTCCGGGGGGGTGGGAAGGTCAGGGTGTCGCGTAACATCCCCCTGTCCAGCGCGTTGTCGGATCATGCAGCACGAAAGTCGACTGTTCCAAACGATCTTCTCCTGGTCCCTACGTGCGCGCGCGCAGAAAATAAGACTTCAGACTCAGTAGCGTAGAAGGGTAAGAGGAGAACGGCCGATCACGAGCCACGGTGCCGCGTTAGTATTGCGAGGTGCCCGATTGATGCGGGCGTGCGATGTGATGGCGTCCGCCCCCTTCATTCGGTCGGAGGGCGGACGTGTGTATCTTCGAACAGATACGATTGTACCTTCGAGGATCTGCCGTCTGCTCGCCCATTGTGTTTGTCGTATGCCGTACAGTACCCCCGTGCGCCATACACGTGCTGGTGTAATTGCCACCGTTAGTTTTCCGTTATTTTCGGGGGATGGTGGCGGGTTGATTTGGTGATGACGCAAGCGGTGTTGGTGCATGGCGCACACCTCGGGCGTCGCTCACGTGTAACGTTCTCATCCCCTGTAACTTTACTTATTACGGGACAGGTGTCGGCGGCGGTTCTGAAGTGTCTTGCGTCCGTGCGCATATATTGGTGCCCCTCAGACTGAGTTGCTTTCGCGCTTCCGCCCCTTCCTTAACTATCATGGCGACTGTTGAGGCAAACGCAGCCTCACTCGCCTGCTCATCTGCACACGCCTTTTGCGCGCTTCCACTCGCACGACCCTTATCGATAGGGTCATGACCACTTCGTCCGTCGGGTTATCGGACTCGGATGCGGACTGAGTGCTCGAAGTGAGCCCCAACCTTCTCGGATTTTCCGAGACACAAGTGACGGGCATTTTGGTCGCTTCCACTGCCCACCGAGGGGCTCTCGTGATTCCACCGCTGATCTCCTCGTTCGTCGGGCGCCCCTCCTCGCCGTGGCTGCTGCACTTAACGGGTCGTCCGGCAATCCTGTTCGGGGGGGGTCGTCCGACTTTTCCGACCCGAACAGGGTCTTGCGGTCCTCGTAATGTCGTTCATTACGAGGGACCAACATTTCTTCAGGCAGTTCGTACTGTCCTGTTCTTATGTCTCGCGTCCTTGGCGTCCGAGATGTCAAGATGACTTGACTTGAACACGCCCCCGGCTGTGACCCTCCGATAGGGTCCGCCGTCCTCCTTCACTTCCCGTTTTAGTCTGTTCGTGCAGGCTGGGGTTAATCCGACAAGGAGCGGTTGAGGGCCCCCCCTTAAGCGTGAACGTCCGCGTTCACGGTTTGGGTGAGGTCTCTGCCGGGACGTCTCCGGAGGCATTCGGCGTAACGAGACACCAACTCCTCCGGGGCGTGAGTCCGCGCAGTCCATGTGGGTGTGTTGTAATCCGCCCACTTGATGAGGAACTCCGTAGTTCCGTCTTCCATGACTCGATGTCTCAGTAGCCGTTCAACGGCATACTGCGTTCCCGCGGTGACCTTATCGGCGAGGTCCCGCGGGGTCGTCGTACTTATTCGTAGCACGTCTATCGGAGACGGCGCGTACACGCAGCGGTCGGCGGAGACTCGCTCGGTGACCCCATCACGATCGATTGTGATGGTTCGGCGATCATTGGCGAGCACGCAGTAGGGTCCGACAGCGGGCGAGGCGAGCTTGTTCGATGTCTTAGCCCCATCAAAGGGGTTGAGATGTACCTATTCCCCGGGACGGAGCCGGGAATTAATACGCCGTATGCGCTTATCGAAGTCGCGCTTGTATCGAGCCTGCGTCCAACGCAGGCTCCCGTAGGCCTTTTGGATAGTCGAGTCCAAGGTCTTGAGGAACTAGGCACGTTGGTTCCCCCTATCGGAAGGGGGCGCGTCCCCGTCCGCCCGTCGGAGAGAGAACTCTGGCGGTGGCCTGCTGAGCACGAGTTCAAACGGCGTGGTGCGTGTGATGCGATGTACGTGGGAGTTGTACGCATACGTAAGCGGCCCCACTTACACATCCCAGTCGTCCTGGTGTTCACCCACGTAGTTCCTCAGCATCGAGGCGATTGTTCAGTTGTATCGCTCGACTTGCCCGTTCATCTGGGGATGGTACGCCGAAGTGTACAAATTCGTTATCCCCAGAACGCGGCACGTGCTGTGGAAGAACTTGGCATTAAACTGAGGGCGTTGTCCGAGAGCAACGTGCGAGGGACGCCATACTTGAACACCCACGAGTCGCAGAACGCAACTGCGACCGTGTGCGCTGTTATCGTGCGGAGCGCAACGACTTGCGTTAGCTTACTGAAGCGGTCCGTAATCACGAGTAGGAACCGTTTTCCTGTCTTCGTCTTGGAGCGGCCCCAAGCTGTCGATCGCGAGGCTCTTGAGGGGCCTCGTAGCTGGAAACATCTCAATCGGTTGAGATGTTTCCTCAGCTTCACCCGGTTCATCGCGCAGGTTCGACACCCTCGCACCGTAGCTGCGACGTCTCTAGCCAGGTGGGGCCAGTAGTACTCGCGCCGAAGTCCGTAGTACATACGGTTCTGGCCTGGGTGCCCCGCGATGGCCGGGTTGTGGCACAGGCGAAGGAGCCTTGCGCGGAGCGTCCGAGGTACCACCACCTGAACGATATCAGGGTCGAAGGGGTGTCTCCGTTTGAGCACCCCTTGGTGGTCCTCGAAGAACGCGGAGTCCCGGGACTCTGACTGTCGTGCCAAAACGGCTTGGCAGAAGCCATCCACGCGTTGCTCCTCGGCTATCTCCTCTATCGTAAAAGGGACCGGAAGGTCGTCCTGCGGTGGGGCGACCGGGGAGTCCAGCGCGCCAGCCTCGGGATCTTCGGCGCGATGGATGTCGGCGTCGTCGAACTCGTCGTTCTCCTCCCAAAACGAATTGGGTCCTTGGAGAGCGGGGGCTTCGCCGTCGCCTCGCGGTTTGTCGCGCGTCCTTGTCCGTGCTTCGGCTTTGTTCCGTGTCGTTACGAAGACATGGACGGCCTGGTGATCACAGCTCGCGGTACAAGCGTGGTAGGCGAGCTCGTTCGATACGTCTCGAACTGTCGTGCCCTCGTCGAAAGTGGGGATGTCGTCATCCACCTCGACGGTGGGGCGAGGGTCATCGGCGACCTTCGGCGACACGAGGCGTGACAGGGCATCGGGCACCTGATGCACGCGTCCGGGGCGGTACTGAATGGTGAAATCGTATTCAGCCAGACGTAGCCGCCACCGGTTGAGTCTTCCGGAACTCTCGGTGAGGGACATGAGCCATCGGAGGGCGTCATGGTCCGTCCGTACGGTGAACTTCGTGCCTTCTAAGTACGGCCGTAGTGTGCGGACGGCCCACACTACGGCGAAGCACTCGCGTTCCGTAGCGCTGTAGTTGCGCTCACTATCGGACAGTGAGTACGACCAATACCCCACGGGGCGCCAGTCGTTTGGCTCTTCGTGCTCCTGAAGTAAGGTGCAGCCGAGTTGGTAGGCACTCGCGTCGGTGTCTATCATGTACGGACGACCGTGCCGGGGCAACGCGAGGATCGGCGGAGCGATCATGCTCTTCTTAAGGTTCTCGAACGCCTGAAGTTGCAGCTCCGTGGGGTTACAGAAATCGGGATCCGAATCCTTGCGCGTCATGTCGGTCAGAGGACGCGCAATCTCAGCGAACCACTTAACGAATCGGCAGTATACGTTACACGCCCCGAGGAACGAGCGCGCTTGCGTCAACATCCTCGGGAACGTGAACGTCTTGAAAGCGTCGGCCGCCGTATCAGCCACGCTCAACTTGCCTGGGGAGATGACGTGCCCCAGGTAGTGCACCTTCGGTCGGAAGAAGCTGCACTTCTTGGGCTTAAGGGAGATACCGGAACTCCGCAGTAAGCTCAAGACGGTATCGAGATGCCTCGCGTGTTCTCCCTGCGTACGGGAGAACACGATCACGTCGTCGAGATAGACGAGGCATATTTGCCAGCGGACTCCGGAGAGTATTATGTCGAGCGCACGTTGGAAGGTGGCCGGTGCCCCTTTGAGTCCAAACGGCATGCGCAAGTGGCGAAACGTGCCCCTGTGCGTCGTAAACGTGGTCTTATCCCGGTCTTCCGGAGCGACCAGGATCTGCCAATAACCGGAATTGCAGTCCAACGTGGTGAAGACGGCTGCATCTCCTAACGAGTCGATGCAGTCGTCCATCCGTGGCAGCGGATACGAATCCGCTGCGGTCTTCGCGTTGAGACGCCGGTAGTCCACGCACAACCGAAGAGAGCTGTCTTTCTTCGGTACGAGCACCACGGGGGACGCCCACTCGGTGCTCGCGGGTTCGATAACCCCTGCGTTCAACATCTTGTTGACCTCCTTCGCGACCATTTCGCGCATGACGGGCCCTTCCGATAGGGCATAGAACGAATCGGTTTCGTTCCCGGCTCGAGGGGAATGCGGTGCTCTGTGGCTTGGATCGTTCCAAGCGCACTGCTACACAGACTCGATTGCTTACGGAGCATCTCGAGTACATGGACACGGAGCTTGTCATCGTCGATGTATGACAGGTCGATCTCTTTTTCCCAATCCATTCGGGGATTTTCGGGATCCTTTTGCTGGTGGAGTACAGTACTCCTCGCCGTCGGTTGGCATAAAGGTGACCGTTCGTCCGGGTCGACCCCCCTGCCCTCGGCGGTGGTCTTATCGTCGGAGTTGGATCGGCCAACTCCTACACTGCGGAGGCAAAACCGTGAAAAACAATAAAAAGTATTGTTTTTGGACGATAGTTTTAAAGAAATAACGAAACGTTGTCCAAAAGCAATGTTTTTGACATGGAAAACATTACTATTATTGTCCAAAGACGGTAATTAGATTGCATTAATAACAGTACTATTGTATGTGTGGCGGCAATACATATAGACCAAAGAAACATTCTCAATGTTGTCTATGAACGGTACATCGCCACTTTTTCTGAAACAACAGAAGTTTTGTTTATGAACATTCCAAATATTGTTTAAAAGCGAGGAAATGACTTGCAATCACAAAATTAACTCGTCAAATGTTAACGAGGCGGGTGACAGCATTTATGAGGTTTCCGAGGTGATTCTGATGCGGAAACGCAAAAGGCGAAAACTGGACTTGCTAAAAGCAATGCCTAGTGCCAATCGTCTCTTATTTACAGACGATGGTAAGGCCGTCAGAGCGTCTGACATGGGGAACGACAATGAAGACTCATCAGATGAGGA